AACTGTATATCATATCTTTAGTGGGTAGATTTATACTTCTGAATGAATCAAGACAAACAATTACAAATTTTAATTAGAATTAAACTCTTGAATAAATTACTAAACAACCTCTCATCATACCAACTATCATTGGCAACTTGGATGTCAACTTAGTAATTAGATGATTATATATTATTGAGTGCCATGTATAGATATATAATATATTATTGCAATGAGCAAAACATTCACATCACTATCAACTACCCACAAACAATCAGAATTGAATTGTGTACTTTAGAAAATTTATGAATTAATAAAGGACTCATTATTTTAAATACGAAAAGAAAATGGTAGAAAAAAAAAATTATATTGAATTCTTCAACCGAGTAGAGTCATATTTTAACATTATTTGAATACAATACAATATAGTATAATATAGAGTATTGTGAAGAAACATATATGCTTGATTACGAAATCTGCTTTCTTAAGAAGATTTGGGTGTGGTGGCTAAATGTAGTTGGATGCTACCACCAATTTGACCTCCCATTTATGGGATTCTTTTGGCAGACAGATTCTTTATTCCCCCACCCCACCCCCACAATATTGGACCCTAGGTACATGAAATACCCGCACTTGGAATATATGATATATCTATATCTTCCATATATTGTAATTTTGCATGTTCAAAAAAGGCAATTTATATCGTGCATCATAGCGCACATAGCAATGTGCACCCATGCAAAAAACGTGCGCGTTTCAATTGCTGACGGCCATGGCGGAGCCACAATGGGGGCAGTGGGGGCCACTGCCCCCCTCAACCCTTCGTTCTATTATGTAAGTATATGTACAAATCACAAAAGTGCTCAATAGATTAGTGGATTGAATCTTGAATATGATATGGAGTGTCTTAGGTTTGAAACCTACCAATTGCTTTTTTATATGTTTTATGTTTTAGGTTTTAGCTTCTTATCTTTATTCTAACTCTTCAATAAATTAAATGTATTCTTTTTAATTCTACTTTTTTTGCTTGTATATTTTAGCTTCTTTTCCTTATTTTAGCTCTTCTTACCATTCAATAAATTAAATATTTTTTAAGTCTACTTTTTTTTGAATCATTTACTTAATGTAGTCAACAAGTTTATATTATACTTCATCGTATTCAAATTAATTTAGAATAATTTAAAGTTGATCTAATTAAAAGAAAATTAAAATTAAAGTATTTATAAATATAATGTCTTTTCTATTCAAACTATTTTATCTAATTATTATGCTTTATATTTTATCATAAATATTTCTATAACATTTCAAAGTGTTTTAAAATTTCATCCTATCCAAGTATAGTTTTGGCTAGGCCATTAACTATCTTGTAGTCTATCATAAATATTGTATTATAATTTATAATGTATTTGAACCATATTATAGATGTTTGATATTTTATCATTGACAATTCTAAAGTCGTGGCGAAATCTTTAAACAGAATTGTGAAAGATGCAATTTTTTCTTAGAAGTGAGATCTGGAGTTAAATACGCCCCCACTCACATTATTTTCTGGCTCCGCCACTGCTGACGGCACTCTGTCCGTTCAAACGGTCAAAACCTCATTATGTGTATTTAGTTAAAAGTTTCAGTGTATAGTGTTATGAGTTTCTGTGTATTCAGTTAAGAGTTTATGTGAATTCAGTTAAGAGTTGATGTGTATTCAGTTAAGAGTTTCTGTGTATTCAGTTAAGAGTTTCTGTGTATTATGTATCATTGCTATGTGTAATGTTAATGTGCGTGAGTTTTGTACTTAAGGTGTGTGAGTCTTGTGCCTAAGATGCGTGAGTTGTGTGTTTAATGTGCGTGAGTGTGTTCTTCATCCACTGCTGTGAAAATTATGCGCATCCACTGCTGCATTTTCTTCTTGTTTTTTGTTTCGAAGTGGTGGAGGAATGAATTTTGTCTTGTTAACATAAAATCAGAACAGCTATATGTGCGTTTACATATATCCATCCATTCACACACAATCAGAAAAGCTTCATCCACCTTCTCTTTCTGTTCTGCTTCCTTCTGAGCTCGTAATTCTGAACTCAAGTCACGCACATTAAGCACAAACTTCACGCACATTAAGCACAATACTCACGCACATTAAGTACAAAACTCACGCACATTAACATTACACACCAAGTACAAATCTCAGACACATTAAGCACGCGACTCACGCACATTAAGTATATAACTCACGCACATTAATCTACCGCACAACCGCACGGGAAGCCATAAATGCACCTGATCCCTTCCCTATATATATATATATATATATATATATATATATATATATATATATATATATATATATATATATATATATATATATATATATATATATGGTTGCATTCAAATACAAACCTCCTTAAAATACAAACTCCCTTTAAAATACAAACTTGAGCTCGTGTACACATTAACCTACTTACATGCACACAGCGCGCACTGCCAACAATTTCTGGGGTTAGCTCGTGCACACATTAACATACTTACATGCACACTGGCCACACTGCCAACAATATCTGTGATTAGATCATACACACATTAACATACTTACATGCACACAGTTTGTATTTTAAGGGAGGTTTGTATTTGAATATATATATATATATATATATATATATATATATATATATATATATATATATATATATATAATATATATATATATATATGTATATATATATATATATATATATATATATATATATATATATATATATATATATATATATATATATATATTAATGATCAAATGAGAATCACTTCACTCCTTTACTAATGAATTTCCTATGATATTAGGCACCTCACAACTCTCTCCCTCTAAGTTAGGGTTTCTCTCTCTACCCTCCCTAATTCTTTAGGGTTTTGCATGCTTGTCTTGGCTATCTTGGTAGATTTTCTGGCTGTTTTCGATTGATCTTTAACTCATGTTGGCTACTGTTGGTCGTGTCTCTCGTTCGTGTGGAGGCAGTTTCTATTATTGCGATAATTAAAACCCTTGATTTCGCAAGACGGTTTTCATTCGCGAGCTAGGGTTTGTCCTCGGCAGTCTGCATGGAGTCTCGAAATATGGAAAGCGTCGAAGGTATGTCCATCAGGTGGGCTGACATGGTTTTAGAAGATGAAGAGCTTGGCGTTGAGGCGGTGACGCCGCCAGCAATCGGAACGGAGGCGGTGCTTCCGTTGTAAACTGTGGTTGGTCGTTTCTTAACACAATGACTAATCAAGATTGAATTCATGAGGCAGGTTATGGCGTTAGTTTGGAAGCCGGTGAAGGGGGTTGTGATTACTGAGGTGCAACCGAATATGTTCCAATTCATCTTTTACCATAAAACGGATATGCAACGTGTGTCGGAGGAGGGTTCCTGGTCGTTTGAGAATTGCACTCTGATCTGTAGAGAGCTTGGGGAAGGCCAGTTGCCGAGGGATGTTTCCTTGGACTCTCTAGACCTATGGGTTAAAGTTTACGATCTTCCAATTGGCTATACTACGGATGTTGTGTTGGAGCAGGTGGCGAATTTCATTGGGACTTTTATCAAGGTAGATGCCAGATAGTTGGGTGGTCCTCTAAGGGCTTTCTATCGTGTTCTGGTATCCATCCCGGTTGCTAGGCTGTTGAAAAGAAGAATGAAATTGATTCGTCGTGATAAATCTTGGGGGTGGGTGAAATTAAGTATGATCGACTACACACGTTCTGCTTCTTTTGTGGTATTCTTGGTCAATCGGAGAAGTTCTGTCTTTAGGCTCGTGACTCAGACTTACCCCCGGAGTTGTACCCGTATAGTACGTGGATGCGTGCAGGTCAGGTAAAGGGTCCACGTAATGTCGGTGATCCTTGGTTACTGCCATCGACGGGACCCGTGCAGCCCTTAGCCGGTGGGTGACACGATTTTGCCGGATGCGATCAATAGTGAAGACGATGGAGGGAGCACGGGAGATTCGGAGGTCGGGGTGGTTGCGGTGTCTAAGCGACGTAAAGGGAATGGTGGTGTTGGCGGTAGGGGGCAACGCCAAGTACGGAGTTTCATTCACCACATGGTTCAAAAAACTTGCATCAGGCGGGTTCTGGTCCCCAGGCCCGCCCGTCCCAATGAGTACCCCCAGTTGGAACTGTCATGGCTTAGGCAACCCACGGACAGTTCAGGAAGTGGTGGACATGATGTCTTGTAAGAAGCCGGATTTTGTGTTTTTAATGGAGACTAAGGTGAAGCGTGATCATGTAGAGAGATTGCGTATTAAGCTTGGTTTCGAGGGTTTATTTTATGTAGACAGTGTTGGGTTGAGTGGAGGTTTAGCATTGTTTTAGAGGAAAAATAATACAGCCAGATTAATTAGTTTCTCAAAGAATCATGTGGATGTTGAGGTTTCTTTGACAGGTTTGGCCCATTGGCGCATGACGTGTTTTTATGGGTTCCAGAACGAAGCAGACAAAGAGAGTCATGGGATTTGTTGAAGTTGTGGCATCTCGTTTCTCCTTGTCATGGATTGTAATAGGGGATTTCAATGATCTTCTTTTCCAGTCTGAGAAGCGGGGACGGGTACCCCATCCTGAGAATCTCCTTCGCGATTTTGGGGAGGTTCTGGATGATTGTGGTCTTTTGCAATTGCCTATGGAGGGATACCCGTATACTTGGGAGCGTGGTAGTGGCATAGAGGCCTGGGTGGAAGAGAGATTGGACAGAGCAGTGGCTACTTCTGTGTAGTGTAGCAGTCTGGAGGGAGATAGGGTAATTAATTTGTTGACCTGTACTTCGGATCATTCGGCCCTTTTCCTTGGATCTCTAGCCCTGGGGAGGGATGTTGTAATGGTTCTCGGGGTTTCCATTTTGAGATGGCTTGGCTTCTGGATGAGGGGTGTTGTGAGGTGGTGGAGAAGGCTTGGGATGATGGAGGAGACGGGGGGTTGCTTAACAGATTAAAATTGTGTGGTGATCACCTTCGTGGTGGTGGTGGGGGGGGGGGGGGACAGATTTCATATGTTTGGCTGCCAGATCATGTTATTAAAAGCAAAACTCTTGGGGTTGCGTGGCCAAACAGATCTGGCGGCATTGGCTGAGTATAACGCTCTGGAAGCCCAGTTGAGTCAGTTGGAGGTACAGGAGGATGTTTATTGGAGATAGAGAACCAAGTAGCATTGGCTTCAGGGAGCGGATTCCAATACCAAATTCTATCATAGGTATGCTTCTAACAAAAAACGTAAAAATTCGCTCTCTAGAATTAAAGATTGTGATGGGAATTGGGTTGGGAATGCTGATATGAATAATGTGATTATGAATTACTTTCATTATATTTTTAAGTCTTCTGGTATACCCATTGAGGATGACTGTTTCTTTAGTTCCATATCGCCTCGTATTTCACAACAGCAGAACGAGACTCTATTGCTTCCCTTTGAAGCGGATGAAGTAAAATCAGCCACGTTTTCTATGTTTCCTAATGAATCCCCGGGGCCTGATGGGATGAACCCGGGTTTCTTTCAGCATTTTTGGGATGTGGTTGGTCATGATGTCTCTAGTTTTGTATTGGATTGCTTGCATTCAGGTGCGTTCCCGGTCGGGTTAAATGAGACTAATGTAGTGTTGATCCCTAAAAAGAACCAACCTGAGATGGTCTCGGATATCAGACCAATCGCCCTATGTAATGTGGTTTACAAGGTTATTGCTAAAATGATCGCGAACAGGATGAAACCACTTTTGGATGGAGTCATTTTGGAGTCCCAGAGTGCTTTTATCCCTGACAGGTTGATAACTGATAATATTCCTATTGCTGCGGAAGTAGGTCATTATCTAAACATGAAGCAATGTGGGCGTGTTGGTTGGGGGGCTTTAAAGCTTGATATGGTAAAGGCTTATGATAAGATGGAGTGGTCCTTCTTAAGGGGCTCAATGAAAAAATGGGTTGATCTGATTATGTTGTGTGTCACGACTGTCTCCTATAACATCCCAGTTAATGGAGCCAGGGGAGGTAAGGTGAGTCCATCCAAGGGCCTCAAGCAAGGGGATCCTCTATCCCGGTATTTATTTATTATCTGTGCGGAGGGTTTATCCCTTCTTTTGCAGCACGCTCAGACTCAGGGATCCATTAATGGCTGTAGAGTGGCTAGGGGGGCCTCAGCTATTTCCCATTTATTTTTTGCTGATGTTAGCCTTTTATTTTTTAAAGCAAATATTCAGGAAGCGAATGTCGTCAAGCAGTGCCTGCAGACTTATGAGCATCTCTCAGGTCAGACTGTTAATTTTCATAAGTCTAATATTTGCTTTAGCAAAAATACAGGGGAGGGTGATATGGAAGATGTGGTAAATTTGTTGAATGTTAATCGGGCTCTTAATTTTGGTAAATATCTGGGGCTTCCATCTTTTGTTGGGAGGAATGAGAAGTTAGTCTTTGCTTATATTGAGAAGAGGATTAAGCAGAGAATTGGATCATGGAATAAGAAGTTATTGTCTCAGGCAGGCAAAGAAATTCTTTTGAAAAGTGTGGCTCAGGCTATGCCTACTTTTTCAATGAGTGTCTTTTTGCTAACTGACTCTTTGTGTGTAGCAATTGAAAGAGCTATGAACAGATTTTGGTGGAATAAGGGCGGCACCAATGGAAGTGGCAGTATTCATTGGATGGCTTGGGATCGTTTGAGCAAACCTAAGTCTGTTGGGGGCTTGGGTTTTAAGGATCTCAAGGCTTTTAATTTGGCTATGTTGGGTAAGCAGGCTTGGCGGTTTCTCAGGAAACTTGAATCTTTAGCTGCTCGTGTTTATAAGGCCAGGTATTTCCCTAAAACCTCTTTTGCTGATGCTACTTTGGGAAATAATCCTAGTTATTGCTGGAGGAGTATTATGGTTGCCCATGATCTGGTTTCTAGTGGTGTAAGAAGAAGGATTGGTAATGGTGAATCTACGTTAATCTGGGGACATCCCTGGTTACTGGATAATTATGATCCTATGGTGGGAACTGCTATGCCCCCCTATTTGGAAGGTTCAAAAGTTTCTAGCCTAATTGATACGGAGTCTAATTCCTGGGATTTAGCCATACTCAGGGATATTTTCTCCCCTAATGATGTGAACCGTATTTTGTGAGTACCTGTGTCCCCATCCTATGAAGATTCGTAGTATTGGTTTAATGACCCTAGTGGTTGTTACTCGGTAAAGAATGGGTATAGGACCCTCATAGGGGAATTATCTATAGCTCCAAATACTTTCGAGAGTTGGAAACCCCTATGGAAGATTAAGGTTCCACCAAAGTGGAAGGTTTTTCTTTGGAGAGCGATCAATGATATTCTTCCCACAACAACAACTCTTCTTATAAGGAGAGTGGAAGTTAGTCCCTCATGCCCCATGTGTGCTATTTTTCATGAAAATACAATGCACTCATTAGTGGAGTGTGAGTTTGCAAAGCTCATTTGGCATGAGTCACATCTTCCTGTTTCTTCTATTGTGGGGGGTAATTTTTCATATTGGTTCTAGAATGCAATGGCCATGTTAACCCCTGATATTGTTGTCAAGGTAAGGCAATGAATGTAGCTGTGTGGGATGCCTGTCTTCAGAAGCCGAAGCATGTTTGGAGATCTGCTGCTGCCGCCATCTCAGTCTGGGAAGGCGCTACTGTTAGGAGACCGTCTTCATTACCTCAGCAGCGGCAAGTACGGCCTACACCGCCTCAACAGCAACAACCCTAGTTTGCGCTTCCCCACTGTTATTTTGATGCGACTTTCTCCCCAAGCACAGGTTCGGCGACATACGGTATGGTCCTCCTCTCGCCCGACGGAGGTTTCATGGCAGCTTCGTGCGGTGGTTTACCGTTCTCTTTAAATCCTCTTATGGCAGAATCCCTTGCCTGCAAGGAGGCTCTATCTTGGCTTAAGGGCCGAGGGATTTCAGAAGTTGTCTTACACACTGATTGATCGGCGCTACATCGTTCTACATCGTTCCATCTCCACTTCTGCAGAAAGGCCCAGGTCCTATGTTGGAGTAGTAATTGATGGAGTAGTAAGGCCCAGGTCCTTTGTTGATATGAAATTAACAACTAAGTCCCCTGACGCAACTTTGTCTCGAACAAAATGAAAATCAATTTCCACGTGCTTGGTTCTGGCGTGAAACACAGGATTAACTCAAAGATAGGTGACACCCAGATTATCACACCATAGAGTAGTCGGTTCGCCAGTGTGCAGACCCAGTTCACGAAGTAACGAGACGACCCAAGTGACCTCGGCCGAGACATCTGCTAGGGCCTTGTATTCGGCCTCGGTGGAGGAGCGTGCAACAGTGCGCTGTTTCCGAGACAACCAGGAGATGAGATTTGTCCCCAAGAATACAGCGTACCCACTTGTGCTCTTCCTATCTAGCGGACAACCGGCCCAATCAGAGTCGGAGAAGGCGTGAATAACCGAGGAAGCAGAGACTGTGATTCGCAGACCGTACTCCATAGTACCCTTGACATACCGAACAACACGTTTCAAGATACCCGAGTGATCAACTGTCGGTGAGTCCATGAACTGACACAGCCGATTCACGGCATAGGAGAGATCCGGCCTGGTGACGGTGAGATACTGTAGAGCCCCCACAATGAGCCTATACTAAGTTGGATTATTGTGTGGCTAGTCTGACGGAGAAACAGACTACGTAACAGCAGCCAGAGTTGCTAATGGTTTGCAGTCAGTCATACCGGCACGATTTAGGATATCCTTCATATAGCGCCGCTGAGACAGCATAATCCCAGAATCAACCTGTAGCATTTCAATCCCGAGAAAGAAACCTGGGGTGCCCAAATCACGGATCTTAAATGCGGAAGATAGTCGGTGTAGTAGAGTAGTAATAAGTGGCGGATCATTCCCCATCATGATAATATCGTCAACGTACACAAGTAAGTAGACTTTAGATGAACCAGCAAAATAGTGAAAAAGAGAGACATCGGTTTTAGACGGCACAAAACCTGCAGACAAAAAGAAATCGTGTAGTCTCTTGAACCAAGCTCGTGGGGCCTGTTTGAGACCATAAAGAGACCGCTGCAGATGGCATACATGATCTGGGTGGACTGGATCCTCATAGCCATGCGGTTTTTTCATGTACACTGTTTCAGCTAGATGTCCATTAAGAAAGGCATTATGAACATCTAACTGCCGCATCGTCCAACTGTGGGACACTGCCAGAGAAAAGAGAAGCCAGACTGTAGTCGACTTGACTACAGGGCTGAAAGTGTCGAAGAAGTCTTCTCCAGCTACCTGATTGAAACCCTTTGTGACGAGGCATGCTTTATAGCGCTCGACAGAGCCATCAGCTTGGTGTTTGGTGTAGAACACCCATTTACAGCCAATCACATTCATGTGTGGCTCAACGGGTACCAAAACCCAAGTACTATTATGAAGGAGTGCATTAAACTCCTGATCCATGGCTTCACGCCACTGTGGATGCCCAACTGCCTGTGAGTAGCAAGTGGGGTCAGTTACTGCACTAAAAGCCTGAAATTGCTCATTCGTGCCTCGTGTCATGTGCCGCAACCGCATACCATGATCTCGTTCCTGTGGCGCGGTGCGAGTGGCACGTTTCCGTGCGACCCGTTTCGGCCCCTCCAAGGCCAGCGGCGGTGTGTCCCGGGCTAATGGAACCGGACTAGCCGGCTGTATGGGTCCGGATGGCGTAACAGTTGGCGCCACAGTTGGCACAACATGCGTATGCTCGGTCAACACCGGGCTAGTGGCCCAAGGAAGGGCGAGAGGTACTTGTGAAACACTTGATTGACCACCTGTGTCTGAAAAAGGATAATCAGTTTCGTTAAAACGTACATGACGGCAGATGTAGATTTTTCCATTAGTTAGGTTCATGCATCTATACCCCTTAAAGGACGACGGGTAACCTAAGAAGACACAGGGTGCCGACCGGTACTCGATCTTGTGGCGATTATAAGGCCTCAGATACGGGTAACAGCGACACCCAAAAACACAGAGAAAAGTGTATGGCGGTGGATGTTTATGTAGGCGGCTGTATGGATTGTCATACTGTAATGTAGGTGTTGGTAAATAGTTAATTAGACAAGTAGCCGTTTCGAAAGCGTAGTCTCAATATTGTAGCGGGACGGAGCCTTCGGCTAATAATGCCAATCCGGTTTCAACAATATGTATGTTTTTACGTTCAACTCGACCGTTCTGTTGATGTGTATAGGCACAGGATTGACGGTGAATAATGCCGAGCTTGCTAAAAGTATAGTGAAGCTTGCGATATTCACCGCCTAGATCTGACTTAATGGACTTGATAGAACGCGAAAATTGGCGTTCTACCATGACATGAAACGACTCAAAACATTTATATATATCGGATTTTACCCGTAAGGGATAAAACCAACAGAAACGTGAGTAATCATCTACAAATAGCAGGAAATACCTAAAACCACTAGTAGAGATTACAGGAGACGGGCCCCATATATCGGTATAAATTAAATCCAATACATTTTGACTAGAATGAAAAACCCTATCTATTTGAAATCTGGATGATTTGCCGAGGTGGCAAGGCGTACACGACCCCAATTTATTGGCTTTGTCAGGTGCAACCGGACAGGACTGTAGGACTTTATTTTGGACGTGTGCATGCGGGTGGCCCAATCTACGGTGCCGAACTACAGGAGTTGCCCGGGAAGTCAAAAACGCAAACTGAGAGTGAGGAACTGAAAGCTTGTAAAGACCACCGGATGTTGGACCTTTAAGTAGAACCGCCCGAGTTATGGAATCCTTCACAACAAAGTAGTTTTTATGAAACTCAAAAAATACGTTATTGTCGTTTAGTGAAGCGATTAACAGACAATAAGGGAACAGATAAATCCGGAACACATAAAACATTAGACAAACGCAAAATTTTAGAGTTAGATGGGATCGATGCATTTCCAACATGGGAAATTTCCAAACCTGCGCCGTTACCAACCTGGAGTACATCTTCGCCGGCGTACTCATCTGCCTGAGACATCATGGACACGTCGAGATTTGCATGCGCTGACGCGCCTGTGTTTGGAAACAAACGCGAAGCCGATGAGGGAGGCGCAAATTAATCAATCGCGGCCACCATGTTTGCCTGGGCAGAAGGTTGTGTAGTGTATCGCTTGAAACAGTAGACTGCAGTATGGCCCTAGGCTCTGCATATTTGACACTGATGAGCACTGTTCTGGCCTCCCCGACCTCTGTTCTGACCGCCCCTGCCGCCACGGCCTCGGTTCTGGCCGTGTCTGCCACCATCGCTATTGCTACGGCCTCCGCGACCCACGTACAAGGCAGAAGGAGCAGCTATGAATCCGCCATCTGATCCAGCCGAATAGTCGTCGGCATGGATGAATTCCTGAGCCTGCAGGTAATCGGAGATTTGTGGAATTGTAACCGGAATACCTGCCGCTGTGAGAGAGGAGGCCATCGAGCGGTACTCCGGCCGGAGACCACGGAAGACGAACAAATTCTGTTCGTCGAGAGAGATGGGCCTGCTGGCGAGCGCGAGCTATTCCACCAATAACTGCGCACGCCCGAGGTATTCGACCGCACTGCCGCTGCCTTGCCGGAGGGAGTGAAATTGCCCGAGGAGGCTGAGACATCTAGCCCGGGTGGTTCTCCCTAACGCCGCTATGATCGACTCCCTGACTTCCTTGGATGTGGCTTTGCCGACGGCGAGATGCATCACTTCATCCGAAAGGGATGAAATGAGTAATGACAAGATGGATTGATCTTGTTTAATCCATGCTTTGTATGCAAGAATGGGCATCGAAACTGCAGTGGTAGCTGCGGAATTGGACTCATCGGACGCCGGCGGTACCTCGATTGTAGATGGTGGACAGGGTGTATCTCCATCGACGAAACCCAATAATTCCTGGCCGCGAAGAAATGGAATCAATTGGGTTCTCCAGAACAGCAAGTTGCGGTAGGTAAGCTTGATAGAGACATGGTGGTGCGCACCGGCAAGAGGATTGGAGGCAGTTGCCGGAGGAGTTGCAGCGCCGGCAGTGATGGTTCTTTTGGAGGAATTTGTGGACATGGTGGGAAGGTTGGTGGTTGCCGGCGATTGAGGTGTGAGAAAGAGGGTAGATGATCGAAGGTGATGGAAGCGAGAGAACCCGGCGTAGCTGATACCAGATGAGATAAGCTTTTCCAATCTATTCAGCACAAAGACAGGAATACAATATAAAGAGGATAAACAACTCTCGTAAGAGTCTCATATCTAATAGGATGACTAAAGACTTAATCATCTGTTACATTATTGACTAATCATATAATATGAATAATAATATATATAACTAACAGAGGCAAAATTAGTTCAATTGCGAAAGACTTAGAGGCAAAGTAGCCAATAGATTCGTACATTACTATGGCTATTTATTGTTATAATTAGTTTATTTGTCTTTAGTCATTACAAAGTTGTATAAAACATTTCATTTTGGTAGTGATGATGAAGTCTTTTAATATATTGATTGAGTTTACCTTGATCGGATTATGGTAAAAATTAAATACAATATCTATAGTTTTACAATATAACATAATATTGATTAGTGAAAAAAATAATATATTATAAAAATTAATATTTAATGAGAAGTAACAATATATACAAAATAAGAAAATTAATATTTTACACTAAATTACAATTTTTAGTGATGGGTAAAATCAAATATTAGTAATATTAATGACGGGATTTTTTATCATTACAAGAATATAAT